AAGTCACGGAGCTCACTCAGGGAATGATCCTGCGAAAATAGGAAGATAAAAGAATCCATTCTGGATATTCAGTTGAGGAGTATGAGAGACAATCTCGTCTTCGCAGGATTCGCGGACCAGCAGGAGGAGGATCCCGAGGCAACAATACGTGAGTTCATCCAGAAGCTAAAAATTGCGGCAGATCAGGTAAAAAACATCACCTTTCATCGCATCCACCTGCTCGGAGGTAAGAAGCCTGATAAAACCCGTCCTAGACTAATCGTAGCTAAGTTCGAGCATTACAAACAAAAAGAGCAGGTCAGGAGTCAGGGCAGAGAACTGAGAGGAACAGATTTCAGTGTTAATGAGCAGTTTCCAAAGAAAATCCTAGATCGTGGCCGAGTCTTGTTCCCAATCAGGAGGAAATATATCAGTAAAGGCGTCAGAGCTACAGTAGCAGTTGACAAACTTTATTTTAATGTTCAGTTGTTCAGGGATTCTTCCAGTACTGAAAGTTTATCATATTACTGTTTTGTAGAATGTCAGGGTTATTCCAGAACCGTGTACGACTGCATGGGATAAGTAATAACTTTGTCATTTTAAGAAATTCCGACCATGCTGTCAGGGGAAAACTGATGTTAATATTTTTAAAACATGAATTCCGGTTGATATTAGAGCTAATAAACGGCAAATCTGAAATTATGATATTACTGCATATTTCCTGTTTTGTGTCTATCCAGGGATTGTATTTTATCCTTTTAGAGATGTATTGTAGTCTCTTTGCTAAGTAGTAGTTTTGGAAGTTAGCTGAATCTAGTCCCTCTCTGTCTTTACTTTTCTTTGGTGTCTTTAAGCTGATACGAAGGGGTTTATCCTTCAAAGAAATTTAGAGATGGAAGAATCTTGAGATTTAAACCAATCAGGTGATGCTTTATTTGGGATCATTGAAAATAAGTAGTTAATTCTAGGTAAGATCATCATTGAGGCTACCCTATAAGAGAGCTCGGAAGCAATTTCCATTTTTCTAGGGCCTCTTCTATGTTTTTTAAAAGAGGGATGGTTAAGTTTTGGTAAATTAGCTAATTTAGATGGCACAGTGATTCCCAAATATTTGATATTTCCTGATTGCAATTGTAGACCTGAGGGATTCTGTAGAGAGCAATTAATTGTAAGTAGTATAGACCAATTTATAGAGTAATCTGAGACTTTTGGGAAAGATTCTAGTAATCTAATTACTGGAGAGAGGCTAGTGTTTGAGTGCAGGAGATAAAATAATACATCATCTGAGTAAAGGCTAATTTTATGCTATTCTAGCCACATTATTTTGTCTGATTGTAGCAGCTAAATGGCAAAAACTGAGGGGGGGAGCAAGCATCCCTGCCTGGTTACATAAGATCTTTGCCTGGCTTAAGTAGGAGACTAGTGGTGGCAGAATTCATATTAACTGGAAATTTGCCATTATCTTGAGTTTCCTGCAGCATTCTGGGGAACGTTGGGGCCAAAATGTTCCAGAACTGTTTATAGAACTCAGTAGGGAACCCTTCTGGACCTGGCGTTTTATTATTTGGCATGCTTTTTTATGCTTCCTGTACTTCAATTGTTGACATCGGTGAGTCCAGGGTTACTCTTTGACTATCTGATAATTTAGGAAGAGTTATTTTATCCAGAAATTGCTTGACATCATTATCTGATGGATTTAACTGTGATGTGTATGAAGATTTATAGAAATCTCAGAATTCATTGTTAATACCCTCCAGATCCTGTAATTTATTACCAATTAAGTCTGTAACTGTAAATATAGTCGTTTTCTTTTTGTTTATTTTTAGCTGATGAGCTAAGAAACTTCCTGACTTATTGATATGTTCAAAGTTTTCTATCTTGAGTCTTTGTATGAAGAATGTATTTTGTTTTTCTATATATTTGTTTAATACTAGTTTTATTTTACGGATTTTACCAAATTTTTCCTCATCTAGCGAGCTTTCTAGTAACTTGATTTTTTCCTGTAATTCCTGGATCTTTTTTTGTTCTAACTTTTTTTCATGAGATAAGAATGAAATAATTTTACCTCTTATCACTGCTTTACCTCCTTCCCATAGTATAGATGCTGATCTTCCTGATAAATCATTGAACTCCAAGTATGATGCCCACTCTTCCTTGAAAAATTTAGGAAATTCTTCATCTTTAAACAGTGATGTATTAAATCTCCAGCTCTTGTTTTGTGGGGGTATTTCTTTATTTATTAGGGTTAAATTTACAGGAGCATGATCACTGACAGCAATAGGATGGATTACAGCGTCCGATACGTCAGAGAGTAGGAATGACGGACATTAGAAAAGAAAGTGTATTCCTTACTATTAGGATGAAGAGATCGCCATGCATTGCAAAGACCAAAATAACATTTAATGATTGCCAACTGCGCCAACCTGTCTATTTCTCCATTTAGACCAAAGTTGAGGTCACCCCCAATAATTAGAGAACAGTCCCTGTGCTTTAAAAGTGCATGAAAAAGTTTGTGGAAGAATGAGTGGTTGTCAACATTTGGACCATATATGCTGACAATACATAAAGTTTGGTTATGAATAGATAGTTTAATTATGCCTTCTGGATCTATTTTTTTGTCTAATATTGTAAAACTGACGTTTTTGTGGATTAAAACTGTTACTCCTCTTTGTATAGAGTTATGTAGGTATGTAAGGACTTATCACAGTGCCTGGGTTGGAAAATTTCACCTTTACCATCAGTTTGCTTGTTGGGTGACTTCGAGGGAAGCTCTCTGGAGAAAAAAATTGTTTGCATGGCTTTCATGGCTTTTCATTAAGTATCGCAAAGAAAAGTATCCTCATGAATTGGAAAAGTAAGGATAAACTCAGTATCATAGTAAGGATAAAATCACTATAGAGATCTTTTGTTGGATCATATTAATCTTGAGACAGCATCTGCATCCCCATCACACCGATCTCTCTGGGCTCCCTTGATCGGCTCCATCAAAGGATGTAGTGGGGGGCTGTGGGGCGCTGGGGCTGGTTTGTGGGTCCCCGGGTCCTGCGTAGCTCTGAGAGGCGCTCTGGTGGTGCCTGGTGGGTCTGACCCCGGGGTCTGTTACCCCCATCGGGGCGGGGCTTGGGATGCCTACAGTGGCCGCTTGCGGTGCTCTTGGTTCCAGGGTGTCGAACATGAGTTACTGGCCTGGTAGCTGTGCTGCTGCTGGGGGTCTGGGGTCCCTAGGGTTGTTGCCTTTGGGCAGGTGCCCCAGCGGGGTATTGGGGGTTCGGGTTCTGTGGGGTATGCTGCTTAGAATAGGGATGCCCATAGAATAGGGTTTGCACTCTGCTAGTGGGGGGGATGCTCCCAGCCTGGATGCCTGGATTGTCACTTGTGTGGTGAGAATGTTAATGTATGTTGGTTGTGTGGTGAGAATGTTAATGTATGTTGGTTGTGTGGTGAGAATGTTAATGTATGTTGGACTGGCATTGGCCATTCCTGCACAGACTCACACCTAAGGAGAATTTAGAGAGGCCAATTAACCAAACAGGACTTTGGACTGAGGAAGCTAGTATTGAGAAAACCCACACATGCTCAGGGAGAACATGCAAACTCCATGCAGAAAGACCTTGGGCTGGGAATCAAACCCAGAACCTTCTTGCTGTAAGGCAGCAGTGCTACCCACTGCTCCACCAAGGAGCCCACGAGCATTAATGACATTCAGATCGAATGAATGCAACCGGGCCGTTCAGACACAGGTCTCATTTGAACAGATCAGATTTTTACCGTACACACGACCAGCAGCTATTGCAGTTTTTCTCCATATTACTTTGAAAACACCAAAAAAACATGATAATCTCTTGCTCAGCATACAGATGTACCAGACAACAAGTAAGAAAGGACAGCATCTTTTTATCATTGTGTATGCAAGTTGTTTTATGTCATCTAGCATGTCGCAGTAAACAGACATTGTTCAAGTGACTGCACGTCCACTATAGCCTTTACCTTTAACATGCTTGTCTATATGATTTATTAACCACCTGAGACGACCCTTCCTTGTCTGGCCCATGTGGTACACACCATGTCCCAAACAGTTCAGTGACAACCTGTAGCCTTTCATATAGACCTACTGACTGATTACATGATTTTTCACACCTATTGTACAAATAAGTTGACACACCTTGATTTACAATGTCCCTTGGGTCACAAGTATTTTCTGTCTTTTTTAGAGGTACCATAATTTTTGTCTAGGTCTGTTTTAATTAGGTTATATTTTTAAATTATTCTGTTGACACTATCATAATGTAGTTCTGGCCTGTCAACTAGTTTCGTTTTACGTTCCTCTCTGTCTCCTGCAGTGATTGCCAGCCCATTCCACCTGCACCATTGAAGCCTAACCTCATCAACAGTCATTCTGATCTTGCCTAACTAATCGTTTAATCAGACAGAGAAAGAACGGTTGATATTTAATAGCCGAGAGCTTTCAATAATCTAGCCCTGCCAAAAAAATTAGCAGGCCTGCAAAGGCTGGGAGACATATTGGAGGAATGACTGTTGATGAGGTCAGGCTTGAGTGGTGCTGGCAATAACCCCAGGAGACAGAGGGGAACGTCAACACAACTAGATGACAGGCCAGAACTATGATGGAAACATGGTTGAGAGACTATTTGGCCTTTTTTGTTTTAGATTTAAAATGTTTTGTTTTATATATATATTTTGTGTTACTTTTGTCAGATTCCAGGTTATTTTCTGTCCACCGTGTATTTTTCATTCGTTTTTCTATTTTTACATTAAATGTGTTGGGAGCTGGAGAAAATACCATTTTTCTCCAGCAGAGTCCGCCGTGGATCCTCTGAGGGAG